TGAGCGAATGCCAAGAAGCGCTAGGGGCAGGTTGTCAGACTAATCGGCTGGGCTCTGTGCGGTACGCAAGGCAGCTTTGAGTTGTCATTGGAAGCATTCCACCATGCCTTTGGCAGCTGGATGATAGGCCGTCGTCTGAATTCGCGTGCAGCCGAGGAAGTTGAGGAGGGTCTGGAACAGTGCAGATTCGAATTGGCGCCAAAAACGGCGATCCAACGACTGACGAAAGCCTTAACAATAGTTTCTGCTTCCATATTCGGCAAGGGGATGGCTTCGGCCCAGCGAGTGTAGCGATCGACATAGGTAAGCAGATGCGTGAAACCGTTAGATGGAGGCAAATGACCTAGGACATCGAGGTGCACATGACTGAAACGAGCGTCGGGGCTAGGGAAGGTGCCGAGCGAAGATTTGTTGTGGCGGTGGACTTTGGTCCGTTGCCAACTCGGGCACGGCCGGGCCCAAGCTTTGACATCCTTTTTCATGCCAGGCCAGACGAACCTCTCCGCAAGGAGCTTCTGTGAGGCTCGAATCCCAGGGTGGAAAAGTCCATTCAGAGTGTTAAACACAGCTCGACGCATCAAGGGCGGCACAAAAGGGCGATAGAATGGAGTCGAGACGTCACAGAGGATGGTGTCAGTACCGGTGGTGAGTGGAACGTCTGCATGCTGGAGACCACTAACAGATTCGTCGCCAGGACAACCGACTTGTGATTGCTCAGCGGCCATAGCACTTAGGTCGATCCCCTGGGAGAGTTGGAGTGCAGAAAGGGAAGGTCTCGACAGCAAGTCAGCCACGTCATTCTCCGTGCCAACCACATGGCGGATGTCGGTAGTGAACTGCGAGATGTAGTCCAGGTTGTCAATCTCTCTGCGGTTGTACTTATCGGAGTGGGACCGAAGAGCAAAGGTAAGCGTTTTGTGGTCCAAGTAAATGGTGAAGTCCCGGCCCTCGAGATAATGCTTCACTGCTAGGTAGATGGCGAGGAGTTCACGGCCAAAAGTGCTGTA